AGATGTAACACAAAGATGCGAAGGAAGTCAGTTAACGGGGAAAGTATATTTTATTATTCTGTTTTAATTGTTTTTATTCGAAAACAATGTCCGAGTTATCATTGGATTCAAGCATTGTGCATGAAAATTATTGAATTTTCTTTAACGTATACTGTACATTTTTCTTAACTCTAATTTTCAAAAAAGTAACACAGTCCCCTAAGACGCAATTTAAATAATGTACTCGTATGTTGCGGTCTTCGATAAAACCCAAGAGTTGTCATTTATCTCTGCGTATCAATTATGTTGGATTACTCAAGGAACTCATATTTTACATCATTATTACTTACGTTTTTAACTTCACCCGGTGGCCTACGACTGCGTTTAAGACCATTTTACACTAGCGCAATTAGTCTTTTTTCTCTATAGGTACGAATGATCATAATAACAACATTATTTTCCGACTAGAGTATCTTAGTGGAAAGCGGCGTTAGTCTGAACCTCTATAATTCAGCTAAAGCCTCTCGCCGGAAACGGAAATCTTAGTCCGTTACTTTAATTACTTTACCGGATTGATTTAACTCTATCTTAATACTGGCTACACTCGCCATTTAGTAAAACATGTTGGTAACTCTAAGTTATGGGCATTTATATCTTGAAGTATTGCCACTAAATGTGTGTAATAATTTAAAAAATTGAGCTCAGCTAATGAGGCGTTACTGGTGACTCAAGTATGTATGTATATATACAGATTGAGTCATACATTTTTTAAATATAAGCATGGTAATGTTGAGTACTACTACAAACATACCTACAGGATTGAAAATGATTTTTTAGACTCTATTATGATACATATTCTAAAGGAAACTTATTCTGTTTACTACATACAGTGACATGTTTAAACACATTTATTGAGCTGACAATTGAATGACAACAATTTGTCAGTTGAAGCTCGAATTTTGATCTTATCACTGGACTATTGTTGTTTAGTTTGGAAACAGATTACGTTTTACCGCATCAGTAGCTCTCTATTGAGATCTATTTAAATTGTTTTGCTTCTGGTAACCACAGATACGAATCAACTTTAATTCTTCATGTTTATAACAATGTATAGAAATGTTAATATAATAAAAAGAAATAGACCCTCTGCGGAGATGTGGTAAACATGTTTTTATATCTTTCTAACCCTTTTTCTAGTTTAACGCTTCTGTATTAGTTTTATGTATTGAATATGATTTTTTCAAGTCCATTATCTAAATATTAGGCCACATATTTATACCCCATTTTTTTATGAACATGTGCTGTGTTAGATGTTGGTTCTTTTGTTTTAGGCACTGGGCTTAAACGTACCAATACATTTAATAAGGAAGACGATATTTTAATTTGAACAACGAACATTAATCACATAACCCAGTTAAAATTAAGCACGAATCAAGTTGCGTCTTTACTTAACCTAAGGCCTAAGTCTAAATATGCTTATTTATAATCATGGCATCGTATTTGTGCCGCGGGCGTGCGGCGTCCGATCCTTTGAGCGCAGCCATACATCACGGCTCCTAAGTAGACAGTATATCAACCGATATTCAGAGTAATTAGCCCCTTGGCGACGGACCTCCTGGATTTATTGTAGTAGGGCGTTAATGCGGCCGACAGCCGTGATGCCGGCCTTTGTTCTCCCTCACCGAAATATTCAATTGGTATTTAACTACTTATCCGGGTCGCAACCCGACGTTTTATGACCACGTCTTATTTCATCGTGATCCTGCTAAAAATAAAAGCATTTAATTATCTTACCTCACAGGAATTCATAAGATAAAATAAAAGGGTTAATCTACAATTGTTTTATTTCAAGGACATCAAATTAATTTACGATTTATTTAAAGTCGTCTTGGATGATAATTGTGCTATACATCAGAGGGTCCGCTGTAAAATCTACTTATTTTATCTACACCACTTTATCCTTTATCGTTTAAAAAACTCATCAAATTAAAATGTAGCACTTTTATGGGTTACGATAACTATTTTGACAAAGGAGTTTGGTAGTCGCACAAAAAGCGGAATCATTACGGCCGGCTACCGCAATCCGTCAATTAATTTACATTTCAGATATGAAAGGCGACAAAGAGAAGGCCGAAAGGAAATCGCCACTGTCGTTTATCTATAAAAATTGTGACACTTTAAAGTGTACCTTATGTCATTGTCTTTTAATCACATAATCAAAGTTCGAGCGTTGATAGTAAAAACGAAATGGCTACCGTAGGCGACGGCGAGTGATAACGCAGACTGGCGCTACATCGTAAAACATCATTAGCGAGATAAAAACCCTAAAAGCTGCCTCGAAGTAACTGAGAGCGCAGGATGTTACGTCGATACATGATCTTACCTGCGTACATTGCTTGATTAATTTCAAATAAATACCTTTAATGTGTGATCAATCAAAACGTAGAAAATAAAGGCATGTAACACACTATCGACCATTTTATTATCTTTTAATAGGATGGTGTTGCTAGAAACAATTTTGTTGTTCACAAAAAATGTTTACAAAACAGTAATTTTCACGTATTCAGTTTGTTGAACAAACAATCATAAATGAAATTATTGTGTCGAGGAAGTGGCGTGTAAAAAATAAGAAGACAAAAGAACGTCGGTGTTGGAAAACTTAATTTTACACCCGAATCAAAACTTCGAGACGTATTGTGTCGGCTGGTGCTAACCAATTTCTCTTTTGTTGTGACCCCGCCCACGTTTATTATCAAATGCCTTTGTGGCGTGTCATTTTTTATCAAAACAATAACCTTTTTATAAAAACTATCGGGTCACACGTACGATAAGTAAGAAATGAATTTGTCAAAAGCTTTTACAGTCAACTCAAACATAATTTACGTGGACGTATAAATTAGGAAATGGTGGGAGGATTTCTTAGAATTACATTTGAATGAATAATTGAACTGTTAACTATGTCTTCTTTTTGTGGTACATCCAGTAATAGGTATTAATGATGTTTCACGGAGCAGAAAGTTTTTATATTGAACTATCGGTCAGTACCCGTTTTATAACGAAAGTGATTTGAGAAGTAAGAGATAATGTATTATAGGATAGTGTAGATTGTTATAGTTTTGAAATATATTAAATTTTCAATTTCATTTATAGTACTTTTTAGTTCACTAGTTACAAATATTTAGACGAAAACGTTAGATTGTTAAATAATTTAGTAGTATAAAAATTGTGATCCACATATTTTGTCTTTTATATTTATGATGTTGGCAACTATTAAAGAGACATAATAAAACAAATATTTTATGATTGTAGTAAATATTAAGTCGGTATAAGGGTTGATATAAATTAGAAACGCATTAATAAATGACAAATTACAGTCATTTGTCACAATAAACTAACGTTATGCGACAAATAAAAAATAATATTAGTATATCCACCCACATCGGATATAAATTAATAGAATATACCCTCATCCCTGTGACGTATAATAATACTTGATTGGTCTCGTGTGAGGTATTTTTTATGTTCTTCAACTTCTGATATTGCTAAACCTCTATAGGGGCAATATAGATGTACAGATAAAACACTCAAAATATTATAACATCAATGTTAAAACTATTTTATCAAAATTTAATTTATAACTCTTCCGTTTTTATTGCCACCGACATTTAATGTTTACCAGAATAGCGACTTAGTGAACATTTCTAGTCGTCATTTAGTAGTGACACCGATTTCTCATAATAAACCCTAAAGCGATTGTTGTGATTACAGACCCTTAGTGTTCGTTAGTACGCACCTTTAAACACTATGTTTAGTTTAGTATGTTATTTCCATTTGAATCAATACTTTTGCATGGAATTATCATGTTCTCATCGCCTGTCCATAAATTCAAGCAGCTGAAACTAGAAGATAATAATTACCATACTAATCTTTGGATTTAACTCAATAACAATTCAGATTAAATAAAAATCCTTAATCAACCCGCACGAAGATAACCGCCTATGTGCACAGCCTCCTTGCATGAGAATTAGAAAACCATAGATTACAAAGTATAGCTATAAAATCAGTGAATTTAAATTAAAGATTAAATAGTGTGCGTGGTTTTTATAATGAGATAATGTTGATATTAACCTTAATCTTATTTCCAAATTTATTTCGAGAGTTACATGTTACCACGATTGACTTTTCTGAAACAAAAGACAATCGTGGAAATATGTGGCTACGGAAATTCTGGTTGTTGTTCTTTGCAGACTCCATCTAATATATTGCAATCTTTATGTTGTTAGCCTTTGGGTAGTTGACTTCTATTTTACGTAACTTTGAAAACTGAATTCATTTTTTTTACGAGATAGTGTGATTCAATATTAATTTACTAATACCATTAAAAGCTGGTTTTTTCCATATTTTTGTCGACAAGTCCCTTTTTGTTTATAAACCGGACTCAGTATCGTAGAAGTTACAACAAAGTTAGGTTATAATGATTCTTGTGTAAGTGATATTTATTTATTAATTTCTCCTTTTTTTTGCTAGGAATTAGATACAATATGTAAGTATTTAAGTCCGCAACTCACACTTAGTTTTATCTGAACAGTCGGATCGTTCCGATAAATCTAACGTGTGTAGGGGAAACAGAAAACTGAACAATTCTCAGTTTTGTTAGATTATCCGAACGATCGTGTATAACGGGCTTTATGTTAAGCTATTTTATACTATTTTTATTATTATATTATTAATTAAAAGGGAATAAAAACAAATGTATTTTTTAATAAATAATTTAATATTCTTGTTAAACAACGCCGTTTAGTATTTACAATAATATGCAAACGTCTTCACTTGTTCGCAAAAGTCCGCAAGGTAGAGACACATCGAAACATCAGTTCCACACTCTGACCAACGCTTATTTAGTAAATGTCTATTAATATTAAGGCACTATGGTATGACTAGAAATATCAAGAGTCTTTTCGTCTTCACAAATAATGCGGTACAATTAAATTAATGCACATTATTTCGGAGGGATTCGTCCAAACTTGATTCCGAACGTCGGTTACCTGTGAGCAAAAAATACACGTTAATATGAAACTCCAAGAACTAATTAATAAAACCACCAAATGAATATTACAATACAAAGAAATATAAGTAGTTTGTTTATTAAATTCGAACTTACGTTTATGCTATTTTTGTTGCCACCATGAGATGACGTCCAGCAGTTCGTCCTCGTCCATGGGTCCCAGCTGCTGCTGCGTCGAGACCTCGTATCGATCCACAGCTGAGTAGGCAGAGGACACTCCCGACGAACACTCCGAAGGGGCAGGGGAATCGGCTT